ACGAATCACGAGAGCGGCGCAAATTAGATAGTTATGATAATGTAAAGTTGTGTACGCAATTTAGTTGTTTGCGCAAGAAACATCATGACTCATTGAGTAATGTAAGTAATAAGATAATGCTGAAACGCGCGCCCTTTTTGGCAGCCAAGCAAGGAAACCTTAAAATGCACGATGTACCACTGACATCGACTCACACCGATGTGCAGATGAACTGCTCAACTTTGCAGAATCTTTTCAAAAATTGAAGAGTTCAGTGATTTTTGATGAAGACAAAAAAGAAGAGAAAGATTCTGATTTAGACTCCGGTTCTGAATCTGAAACCGAAGACCACGAAGAAGAAACCGACAGCGAGTCAAGCGACGATGGAACTGCTGAAGAACCAAAGGACAAGGATAAACCATCATTTCTAGAAGCTCTGAGATTTTTGTTAAATCCTGATTACCACCTAGTTGATGTATTTCCAACTCTTTGTAAAGTTTATGCGATTGCAGTTGCAATTCCAATCAAACCCGCACACGTTCGTTTATGTCTCAAGAAAAACTTGAAGCGTTGCTACTATATGAACGGAAGATTTTAATGTCTTTGGACAAGGAGCAGATTATTACCGCCTTTGGAGGTCTGACATCAGAATTGTCGAAGGCGCTATATGAAAATGTTTAGAAATGCTAGAAATCGACAATCGTTATTGAAACATTAAAGACATTGCAGAACATCGATCGATCGATATGGGCAATATTTGATGTTATCAACATTCGATACAACACGTGACATATAGTACTAACTATCAAGTGATATATAGTATTAACTCTTTTTGTATGTTTTGACAATTAACGACATGACAGATTCGTATCAATAAAGTCCAAGCACACTTTTTAGTATAACACTACAAGTTATTAGAGAGATCGGCGTTTAATATAAATCGAAATATTTTATACAAATATACTCAACGAGTGACTTTATTCCTCCATAATTAATCTAAAATAAAGATTTATAGTAAAACTGATACCGCACTAATTTAAGTACTACTACAAAATTCTAACCAAATTGCAAATTTTGACACGTTATAATCTCGTTTCCGGACCATCAGATTTCTGTCAAATCTTCCCCCAAAGTCCAGGAATTGGCATTTCAGAGACTCTAAATTTAAAAATTTTCCGGGGGTGCATGCCCCTGGATCACCCTAGGAACACCTCGCACCTGCGGCGCTCGGCTCGTGCCTTCGGCCCTCGTTTATCAAGCGTTACATTATAGGGGCGCATATTGGTTGATAGCTCACTGGCCCCCCCCAGAAAAATA